CTGAAGTTCCCAGCTGTATTTCAACACATGGCAACTGTGCTATGGTCTGTCCCTACTTAGGAAATCGTGGCGTCAGTTTTTACTGGCGGTGAATTTCTAGAAGTTTGAAACTTACCGTGGCATTATTGATGATTTTTGCACTTGAAAATCGACCGAAAAATTCTCAGAAAATATTAAATCGAAAGGTATTTGAGTGATGAATGTATTTAATATATAAAACAAATTAGTCGACCCGCCTATTATGTCGAAATTACTGACATCATATAGAGATAATGTATGAATATGTTTTGGAAGCTGACACATCGCATGAATTCATTTTGATCATTTCATCCCTTACTGTCATAGAGAGCGCTAGTTACACGGCTCGTGCCGCATAGTTCACCTTGGTTATTAAAAATTTACTTACACTCAATTCCGTAGACCATTGCTGAATATAACTAATATTTTGATACACTCAACTAACTTTCGTTATAGACTAACGTCAAAATTGAAAACTCCGTTCCTTGGTCATCACTGAATTACTTTAAATCAGCGAATTTGATATCCGGCGTTCGAAGTCTTTGAAGATTATCTGAAATGTAAGTACCTACTCAGAGAATGATAGAGTAATGTGTGGATAATTTGTTGATTTTGTGATTGATATACTCGAAATCAACAACTGATTTACTTTTCTCGCAATAATAATCGCAATAAATGTACGATCATGTTATCTGATGATATGTTGATGAAGTACAACAATGGCTTTTTGTTCCTGAAATACGAGAACAAACTTCGTTATTTGAGTATGGATGATTGTTGGCCAACCATAAGCGTGATCCCTTTCGACTTCTTTTTCATCTCTTAGTGCGCACGGAAGGGAATTCCTATAATGTTCGAGGAACATCATCCATTCCAAGGAAAGATATAGGGAAAGAAGGTATAAGGTATATTGAAGTTCTTTTAGACTCCTGGTAATTATGAGTTCTTGGGAATACTTCCTTTCGTAAGGAATTCTAAAGCTTTGCCATTATCATCTAATGATAATAGGGTTGTACACATCAGTCGAATTCACACTATTATATCTATTCCATCATGATCATTATTCCATGTTGGTAATAAACGTATGTGATACAATCATCTATTATTCACAATCTTCACAAATATTTTTTTAATAATCAAAATCTAGTCACCTCTGAAATGAACGCTATACCTCTCGCTACGTGACATACCGATAAGCACTATAGTTTAGTTTAGTTAATTCAACAACGTTATGTACAAATAAATACATTTGTTACAGGTCATAGATATTACATCTGGTGGGTAATGTAGGGTAGTGAACACAAATGCTTATAAATAGGTAATAAATCAATATAGCACACACAAAAAAAACGAAGGTTTGTGAAACAAAAACAAAAAAAAAAGAATCAACACCGAATAGTTATTATTCTGCCATGAACCTAACATGGGGATCAACCATCAGCATGTGAATTTTGCTCGCAAAAGGTTGGACCTATAATCCCGTGGTGGAACTGCGAGCACTAAGGAGGGACAAATATCGATGGATCCTCCTCTTGAAGGTAAATAGATTGTAGTTCGCTGGAAATACATCTGTGGGTACAGAATTCCACAGTGAAGATGTCCTACAAAAGAAGGAGTTCTTGAAAAATACGGTCAACGTCAGATTCAATTTCATTTTAGGTTTCGAAGGGCGTTCGTAAGAATTCCTCAGTTGAAAAAAAAACAGTGCTTCACAATGAATTTCTTCAGGAGATTTTTGAAATGAGGGTAGTCAGTATTGATCAATTCGGTTGGAATTACATTATAGAGCTTCAAATTTATGGAATTTTTTGTGATTTTGCAAGTCGGTATCTTGGAATTCGCAGTTGATAAGTAGACCTAGTTTTGTATTCATGATGATCACCCAGAATATATGAAGAAATATCGTTACTGATATGAGTGATATGAGTATTTCAATTTAGAGAATCGTCTAGGTATATGCCCAAAAGCTTGGCATTTTCACCCTCGCAGTGATGTCTGTTGCTTGACAAAATCAGTTTATGTGTTTTGTTCCGATTCAGTTTCAATATTTATTAGCAGTGAACCATTCTTCAGCAAGGTTTTCAGTGTTGTTCATCAGTGTCATTCATCTTACTTGATTTCTTGATAGAAAAATCTGATTTGTCCCATACAAATATATTGAAATAATTCGCATATTTTTATTTCATAGAAACGAGGAGAGAAAATCCCAAAAAATCGAGTAAAATGGATGAGTACTCTATTTGGAAATGAATGATAGAAAAGATCACATAGGTGATAAATGTAACGGTCAGAGTACCGAACCTTGCATGGGGTATGCCAATTTGAAGTCCGATGAGTTTTTATCAATCAAACTCACTGTTCTCTGTTCTTCAAGTAAGACCTCATATAATTTAGTTAGAAACTGAGTTTCTTGGGTAGAATTTCGTGATTGACACAGCCGAAGGCCTTGATGCTGAGATCACACATGGTAACGGCCGTGTGTTTCCCCTCTTCAAGGCACTTGACTATGTCTGCGACGATTTTACATACGGCATCAATGGTTGAAAACCCTTGCCTGACGCCGCTTTGACAATATTCGGGAAAGAACCCTGTTCGAAACATAAGTGAACTAATGGCCCTACTAGTATGTCTTGAGATTCTTTCATGATTTATCTGGACCCAGCCACTGCCCTTTCCATAGATAAAATTAAAAACGTGAATGATTGCTCCAAGGACTCAAGTTATAGAATTCAAAAAGAAAGAAAACCATGGGTAACTTCAGGACTGAACAACTCCATCAATAAAAGAGATTCTCTATATAAAAAATTGAAAAATAATAAAGAGGATGACCGTCTACTAAGAGAATTCAGGAAATATAGAAATGAACCAAATAGTATACTTAAGAAGGCAAAAATAGACTTTTTCAAGAAACAAATTGAAAAGAACAAAACAAGTCCCAAACAAATATGGAAAACAGTTGAAGATGCATGTTGCACATCCTCAAAAACGATAGAAATCTAAGAAATGGAAAATAAACATAAAGAAGCTATAACAATTCCTAAATCAGTCGCTGATGAATTTGTCAATCATCACACACAACTAGGAAAAGAGCTAGCTCTCCGCATAAAAAAGTCAAAAATTATAAAGAAATCAAAAAACATAATCAAAAATCAATATACCTGCACGAGACAACCATAACAGAAGTTGAGGAAATAATCAAAAATTCGAAAAGAAACAATGCACCAGGAATAGACAGTATAACAACAGAAATTCTGCAACATATAATGCTGCATATTAAACAACCACTTCCCAATCTCATCAACAGAATACTAACTACCGGAAAATGGCCAAAATCTTTGAAAATAGCTTTAACAAAACCAATCTATAAAAACGGAGATAAAACAGAATGTGTTAATTATAGACCAATATAGCAAATTACAGGTATTTCGAACACCTCAGAGCAGGTATTAAAAATAGACTGATACATTTCTTAGAAGAAATACAATATGATATCCGACAATCAATAGGTATATGGGTTTAGGGAAGGCGAGTCGACACATATAAGATGCAATGAAGGAACTCACGACACATATTTACAAATCACTCGACAACAGTAAACCCTGTCTTTGTATGTTTGTAGATATAGCAAAGGCGTTCGACAATGTCTGTCACAAAAAACTCCTGAGCGCACTAGAAGACCTGGACATTCGTGGAACTTGTGTTTACCTCTTGAAAAACTATCTGAGTAAGAGAAAACAAGATTGGAGATGATTAGTGAATTCAAAATAGTAGAATATACTGCATTCCACAAGGTACAGTACTTGGGCCAATTCTTCTCAATGTATATCTCAACAACTTATTCAACGTTAAAACACAAGGGGTGATAGTAAGTTTCGCGGATGACTGAATGAATGATGAATGAATCAGGAAACTGGGATTCTCTAATCTTAAAAGCACAAACGGACTTCAAAAACATTAGTGACTGGTTCGATTCTAAAGTGCCAATAACACGATCGATCGATCTTCTGCATACATTTCTTCAGATATCTCCACTGCTGGTACTGGGAACGGGACAAAAATAGTCGATATTTATTGTATGTTTTTTATTGCATTCCTCATCTTCAGTGCGCTTATTATATGATGAAAAATATAGAAAACTTGGAAAAGGTTTGGTCAGCTTTGAACATTCATTTTCTTCACGTTTCAGCACTACTAATTGAACGCTCACAGGGTTTTCAAATATTTCTGAAAATTTTATACAGGAAGAGCTTCCTTCCCCATGAACTTTTGCTTCTTCATTTCCGCATTTTTAGCAAAACATTTTCCTCTTTAGTTCAATCAATGCCTTGTAATTTCATCTTGGAATCTCGAGAATTTTAGTGTAGACATCTTACAGTATGGAAATTCGTGATGAAATAGCATGTCTCTATCACCATGATCAATAAATATTTCAGAAAATTCACAGACAGGTCGATTTTCATTTTTAGAAAACTTGATCCCTTGTACAATAAAACAAATTTGGATGGGTTGAGCTGTAGAGCAGGAGGTTGACAGTTAGTTGAAATATTTTGTGAACGAAAATAAATTTTCATCATTATGGAGATACAGATATAGATTCCATTCCCCTATTTACAACTCTGTGTTCAACACTAAACGGAACGCAAAGTTGGAATTACTATAAATGTAACCAAAAATCCAATTTTTTGTTACAACGCTTTGAGGCCAATAGTCCAAATTTTCCATGTTACACATATTATGGAATTATAGGTACCCATATTTTCAATCATGAAAACGAGATAAGAAATTTTAAAAAATCTGAAGAAATTGATCATATTTCATTTTGGGAAAAGAGGGATCCCCAATTCTTTTTTGCATTCGGGCTCCAGCCTTCCTCATTACGCTACTAACATGTCCACTTGGATTTTTAATAAAAAAAATTTGTTGAACCCCAAATGGATACAAAGTAGTTTTCCTTCAACTTTTATATTTATATTTATTTCTTAGTGGATATACGATCATAACAAGATTGAGGAATATGATATTATTCCTTGATATCAGCACATCTTCTTTTTGGCGGTCCCAATGGTATCAGTACGGGAGGTATACTGGCGTTTTCCCAATATCCAGGATACCTGTCACCACTCGACATATTGCATTGCATGCTCAGGGGAGCTTCTTCGTACACCTCTCTCAATAGTTGAACTCGAATTTTATTCCATTCGATTACTTTGTAGTTATCGGAAATTCCTTTCGTCGATATGGTTGGTTGACCTTCCCATCTGAAAATAAGAAGGCATTGATCAATATCATTTGTGTATTTAGTATTCATGCAAGAATCAGATTCAATTGTCGAAAATATCGATAATAATAATGAACAGGACCAATAATTTTCTTAGACATTGAGTTAGGTATTTTGATCACCATGATTTAGGCATTTGAACACAGTATAAGACTCTGATCTACAGATTTCACGTGCGTTCCTAATAGTGTATACTGAAAATCATCAAGGCTATTTTTAACTTGATTTGAATGGGGCAAATTTGAGTTCCTGTTGCTGGGATATGATGATACTTTCATGAGTATGAGTATTTCAAAATAACCACTGAGTGTTTCCAAAGTTGGAGCGATCAATAAATACATGTTTCCGTCGACCTCGTATATTAACGACTAAGTTTAAAGTATATGAAATCGTTGATTAATGACCCCTATTAATGAACGATTTGTCTATTAATGCACGATTGTTTCATAGGCAACCAAACATACACCGCGTGCATTCATTGTTTATGCTATAACTTACGGAATCTGCATTTAAATCGAAAATATGGATTTCATCGAAGATTTTCCGTTAACAGGTTCGCCTTTCCAAGTTTCTGACACGATTTTAATCCGTTTTCTAACACAAGGAATTTATCTCCTATGTTGATCATTTCGACGAATGTCAAATGTCACTAATGTCAGTAACAAGGCTACTGGATGATTCTTAGCAGTTTCCGGATGGATGATGGATTCGCGAACCAGGTTTTCTTCATTGCAGGAGAAATGAGAAATATAGTCGACGGAAAAATTTTGTAACCAACTTGTGTATCAAAAGGCGATTAATAATCTCGAATATTAACGCGCTCGCTTCGCTCGCACGTTAAAATATCTCGATCATTAATCGCCCTCATTAATACCCTAGTTGGTTAAATAACTAATAGGAGACGAAAAAATAAAACGAAATGGAAGAATCTATTTTTGTCGGGAAAAAATATTTCGGAAGATATTGACCCTCAAAGTTTGCGTGAAACTTTCCCAAATCATTGATCAGAGGTTGATACCCCAACCAGAGCGTTCGTTTTCGGCAAAATCACGAGCACAGGAAGTATCAATAACTTTTGCAATAATGCCAGACGTTCAATAATAGTTGGAAGATGTAGAGTATGATGAGAACGCACATTTTTTTTTGAACATTTTCGAAATATTTTTTTCTTGTGACTCATCGTGTTATTAGGTCTCAAAAAATACTGCATTTCAAGCACCACTCCAATTTTGGAAACACATTGTATATTAGAGTGGTAAACAAACACATGCGTAAATCTACCTCATTTTCCGTCTTGAATCTTATGCAAATTAGGTATTTGCTTCTGATTGAGAAGTTTTTTCAAACCTTATTGGGAGTTTTTTCAATTTTTCTCTATTGTGCTCATGACGGACAAAAGAATTTTCGCATCTAGACGTCTCATTTAATCTATCACTATACTTACTCATTCATGTAGCTGAAATACGTCATCAAAGCTTGATCGCTGATAGAGCTCTTGCAGACCTCTAAGTCGGTAAGAGGAAAATAATGAACATAGTTGACGCACATTTCGTCACTGATACTGAAGCCACCAAGTGTGATGTTCTCCTTATCTTGTGTGTTGTAGTCGCATCGGGTTATCAGACTATCACCCTAAAGAATAACAGTTTCAGATAATACAATTGTGGATCATATTTTTTTTTTCAGAATGATTTGCGGTGATTTAATATTACATACTACCCCAGCTTAGATAATTCCGTATCTTTCGGATTATTCGAGTTCAAAATTGATTCAAATCAGGTACCGATTCAGAATTCAGGTCTCAAAAGTTCTGCAATATCAGTAACTTCCTAATATATTATAGGCAACTTCACACAGCCGATATGTACCAAATAACGGATGAGGTTGAATATTGTAATCCGAGGCGCAGCCGAGAATTTAGTCAACCGAATCCGTTATTTGTGTGTCGGCTGTGTGTCGTTTACGACTATTCGTAATCCAGCTGAAAGATTACATTTTGATTTCGAGGAAAGAACAAACCACGTAATCCAGAAAAATCCCAACATCTTGTTGTCATGGAACAGCTTAAAAATATCACAATTATATCATAAGGGCCGCCGGCCGTTGAACAATCTTAACGGACGGAGGCTTTTAACATTGATTTTTCAATTGTCATATGAATACCGTTACAACAAAATAAATAGGTTAACGAAACTTATATTTTAATAGGAGACTTTCGCTCCAAGTTGCCAGAGGCTCTACTATAGAAGCAATATTATGGAAGTAATGTTGATGAAATCTGATTGTTATTGTAGAAGTCTACTACAGGTTCTCCAGTAATTCAGAATTCAGAAGCAAAATCAGTTCTTGCGAACTCCGCCTCAGATTAGTTGTGAATCATGTTGGTGCATCTGCGTTGATTTGAAAACTGTCACGAGTATAAATAAGGTATATCATTCGATTTCGAGTTCGATTTAACAGGGGCTCATATACATCAATTCAATTGAATCATCCGTTGTCATTGAGCTATACTGAATACTGATCAAGGAATGATGAATAGAGTAACTCTCATAAGAAACGTGCAAGCCGATAATATATTTGATGAAAAGGTAAGGGGTTCCGAAGTCATCTGGTTTAGGGCTACTCTTGACATAACAAGAACTCGTCGAGTCGTCGTAATGGTAATCTCACGTAAGTTGTTATTAGGTCTGTAAAATATTCATTGTTGTTTATTTATATTTCATCACGACCCATAATATCGTTATGATACAGTAAATATTATTTTTTCCCAAACGACGGCAGGGATAGTGGCTTTTTCCTGCCGCTTAACAGGCAGAAAAAGTGTACTTTTACTGCCTAGGCAGAAAAAGTTTGTTGCTATGCAACGTTCCAAGGAATTCTTATGAAATTAGTAATCAAAATTGACACTGACATTGAGTGAACACAAAATGATAGAGTTTTCAATAAAAAATCACATAAAATTGGTTTCATATCATTTGGAGAAGAAATTCTATGTTTCACACGGCAGCAAATATAGATTGACTGCCTTGGCTGAATTCCTAGCATCGCTACGCTCGGCTATGAACTATCAGCCGCGGCAGTCAATCCACTACTTTTCTGCCTGGTGAAACAAATAACTATTCTCTCCAAGCGGCAGGGAGAGTGGCTTTTTTCTGCCGCTCAACAGGCAGAAAAGGTGTACTTTAACTGCCCTGGCAAAAAAAGTTTGTTGCTATGCAACGTTCCAAGAAATTCTAATGAAATTAGTAATCAAAATTGACACTGACATCGGATTAACACAAAATGATGGAGTTTTCGATAAAAAAATTACACAAAATTGGTTTTATATCATTCGGAGACAAAATTCTATGTTTCACACGGCAGCAAATGAAGATTGACTGCCTTGGCTGAATTCCTAGCCTAGCGTATCTACTATTTTCCTGCCTTGTAAAATAAATAACTATTTTCCTGTGACGGGAGAAAAGTTCGAAATTTCCTCTCTTTCGTGTGTGGGTACTCTTTTCCCAGATATATATCAGATATATATATAAACTTTTGATGGATTTCGTTGTGCTATTGTTCTGGAAAATGAACCAATAACACGGTCTCCAAGGGAGAACTGCAGGCCCTTTTATCTTCTATTCGATGCGGTGAAGTAAATTACTAAACGACCACTGAATTCGCAATTTATCACAATCAAATCTCGTTATCTTTCCGAAGAACTCTTCACTGTGGAAAAATAACTATCGAAAGTGTTTACTATAGAGATATCCTGTCTACATCCATATATTACCTATGATTCTGTGATAATTCACAAAACTTACTTACTGGTAATACTTTCACGACATTTTTCAGTCTTCTTATTTCTTGAAAATGTGTGCTATAATGATCATCTCTATTCAATTCCGGTAGTTCCTTTCCATGAGCATCGATATGTCTTGTCAGCATACGGGCACCAGTTAGATGGGTATGCAGTTGGGAACCAAAGATTGTGATTCCTTCTGGTGGCAAACCCTGATAATTAAATAACATTTGATGAACTAGCATAATCAGGATACATCAGGAACAAGTAGTGAAATATCATCATGAACGACGAGTAAACAAAAATACTGTGAATTTATACTTTCGTGCATACATCATGCATATATAGGGAGTATGGGGAGAGGAAGTATGTATTGGACTTTTTTTCACTTTTTGAGATTATTGGTTTTAGGGAATAATTTCTTTGTCAAATAATTCCCAAGCTTTTTCCTGAGTTTTGGTAGAGAATTGTTCGACATATCTCGAGGTTAACGACGGAGGGATGTGCTGACTGAACTTAGTGAACTTGTCGAGTTCACGACTGCTATTGCTGGTGATGGATTAAAACCAGATATTTCTGAAGAACAGTTCCCGTGGAAGTAGCTATAGGAATGTTAAATATCGCCGACTCATCTACAATGTCAACAGATTTCCAGTACAATCAATAGTATATTATGAAAAAAACATGATAGCTACCAATATCACAGGACCCTCTGGATGGATCTTGGGAAGGTTCAAACCACATGTGACAAAATATCTCACCGTTTGAGAATAGGGTCCCTGGATAACATGAATCATGTGCATTTGGGACCTGTCATAATTCAGTGTGACCCACTAAAGATCGAATCACCCTTATAAAAAATCTATAGTTTTCAACCTATTTGTTTTTTTTTGTTTCAGCAGAAAAATTATCAGATCACAAAAATTTACCTACAGAATATATTTCCAATTTTCAGGGCATACTATGGTTTTTCCTTCATGTTTGGAATTGCAAAATACCATTAGCGATTCTTTTCAAACAAGTTGACTTCACCACTGGATTCACTATTCTTCAATTAGGTTGAGTACAAAATTTCATGGAATATTTCAATGGGCAACAAAGTTATAATAACATTAATTTTGGTAACTCACCATTTCTTATCAATATTTCAGACAAATTCTGACAAGCGGCAACATTGTCAATATAGGAATGTTGGGAATCATTGAGGTCCCTGATAGTCATTTGAATTGAATTATCGATTTTCAACTTCTAAAATGGAATTTATCTTGCTATCAATGAAGAGATCCATGAAATGAGAAATCAATAACTTCGAAAATCTGGCTTGTCACAATTATCATCGACCAAGAATTTTTGTAACACCAAAATTAGCTCTATAATTGACGTTTCTATTACTGACACCAACATAGGTTTGTATGGCTAGACAACACTTTCAGTACCTAGGAGGTGAAGTTGAAATTTGGCTTTTAGGAACTAAAAAGGATGTACCAGGTCATCAAGGATAATCAACAATGTTATGGTTGGTTCTTTGGGTTGGGAGTTGAGACGCATACCTGATTTGTTCCTGATTTCGGCATGTTTGGCATTTCATACCCATGCTGATGGAGATCTGTTGTTCATTCATTCTCAGGATCTATTTGATTGTAAAGCTTGATTTTGAATAATCACGGCCAGCAATACTTTTTTGTCTCACACAAACAATATTGTTTACTCTCAATTGATAACCGAGCCAAACACAGTAGAATATCGAGAGAAATAAAAAATCGATATTATTATTGTTGATATGCTCACTAACCTGAGATTTTCCACTTATTTTCCTGTACCTGGCACTGGTGCGGTATCTGCTATTATGGCAGACACCTGATCCAAATGAATTCATTGATTCATCGATTCAATGGAATACACGAATTTATACGGAAACCACAATTCGAACATCTCTGAAGATTGAATAAACCTAATCTGAATATGCGCAGGTAGAATATTCTCACCACACGGATTATTTTTTGCAATACATACATATGGCACGGCATCCTCTCTTCGGGTATAGTATTGAATTCGAGCCTGTAGTATCTGATGATGCATGTCAACACAAATTTCAACAAAGTAAAGTCATCGTCCACCAATATTCTAATGTAAAGTAGTCTGAGGTCTTGCTTCTATATATTTTCCTATTTTATTATAATAAAGGTTTTATAATAATTTGTCAAGAAAGTCACATTGGTGGTTACTTCACATACTTATTTTAGTTAATTTTCTCGGTTGCAGAAACAATAGCATGTTTGAATTGGATCAGAAGTGAATTTGTTTGACTCGCGAATTTTTCTTTCGCTCGGCTTCACTAGACGCTTCGCCTCGCAAATGCAAAATTCGCTTGTCAAGTGTCACTCTTGATCATAATAAAACAATCTCCTACTTCATTTCTCTATTTCTGAATTTTCAAATAGTCATCGTTCAAATTAGTTAAATTATACACATTTGAATAATATCGGCCCATAATTATCCAATTACATTGAGTTCAATGTAATTATCTACCCTTGATCAATACATTCCGAAATTTTGTTGCTTCCACTATTTCAATTGAATAGGTACATATTTCATATCTCCTCCAAATAGTTTCCGCATTATTCTTGAGTCCTTCGGGTGTTTCTTCTCTTTTTCATTCTATGAATATTTTCATGAAAACCAAGATAAATTCCATTTTAGATCGTTCAACTCGATAATAATTTGTGTAATTAATTCAGCTAACTACCAGAAACCCCAAAGATTCCCAACATTCGTATATAGACGGCGACTCGGTGGTCGAGAGCGTGAAGGCGCTGAGTTCGTATCTCTCTCACCGAGACATAGGTTCGAATCCTAGTTAGGCCATGGATGTTTGTGTGTGTCTGCTCACCTAACCCCGCACAAGTTTCGACTTATGGGGCGTTTGGTCCCAGTGCTGGGACCAACGAGGTAACGCAATTGCAAAAAAAAGACAATGCTGCCACTTCTCAGAATTTGTCTGGAGTATTCATTATGTTATAACTTTGTTCAGGATAAACATTTTCAATAAAATTTCGCACTCAACTTGACTGTAGGATACTGAATCCGGTGATGAGGTTGATTTTTTGGAAAAATCACCCTGAAAATTTGAAATATATTTTGCAAATTTGAGTAAACGTAGATCTTCTGCTGAAACAAGAAAAAAATAAATCGGTTTAATACTAGAGATTTTATAAGGGTGCTCTTTGAGTAGGTCCCACTGTGTATATTACTATTATACCCAATTTTATTTATGTTTTCTTGACTGGATGTCCTGAATGACAGTTTGAGAGTTCCTGCACATTGAACAGAAGCGTTCTCAGGCAAGCAATTTATCCGAGATTTTTGGGATGGGAATAACATCAATCTACTGAATGATAAAAATATTACCATAGCTGTGCAGGCGCTCGTACAATATCCAAATAGTGGGAATAACTCTTGACCAGGTGGTATTGCCATTTTATCGGTATATTCTAGTCCTAGTTCGATAACTCCTGCATCCATCCTCTTCAATCTATCTGACACGTAAAATCTAACTCCTGAGCTGTCCACCAATCCTAAAACAAGTTTGGATTGTTGTCAATTATATTTAGAGGCTGATAACATAAGATCGAGTCAGTGGCGTAGCTTGCCCTGGATGGGCCCTGCATCAAAATTTGTCAAGGAGGCTCTTCTACCCAATTGCGGTGGTGCTCAAATGAAGGGTGAAGGTTGTTATCAAAAGTAACAAAAACACTTGCACTGGATGAATTCAATATTTGTTTATTGATTATGAGTATTCTCTAACAAATACTAAATGTTCCTAGGAGCCTATTATTCATCATAAATAGTTATTCATACGCCAAGGTAGTAAAGATTATCATCAATACCCAGGGATTAAGATTATTTATTCTTATTCATTTATTTATTTATTTCACTTATTAATTGCGCTACATTCTCTTCTTCATTGATATATTTTTTACAAATAATATAAAAAGTATAATAAATTTTCTAGTAATAGGAATGACATGAATCATCAGACAGTAATTCCTGGTATAAGATCATTCATGAAGTATTATCGACTGTTGAATAATTGAAATTACAAATTGATAGTGAACAAAACTTACATATCATTGAGATATCCCAAAATAACAGTCATATTATAGTAAACAGGAAGGAAAAAAACAGTGAAAAAAAGGTAATTCATAGTCTTTCAGCTTTGATCATTCCTTTGCATATTTATATAGATAGATATTTCTCCACTTCATTTTTGGATTGTATAATATTTGGGCTGTTTTTGATATCATCTGGTAATTTATTGAATTTCGAAATCGCCTCATGTGTGAACCTTTTTGTCCAAGTTTAGAATTTGCAGTTTCAAGATGAAACAAGTTATATTGTCTAGTGTGTTGAACATGAATTTGGGAATTCATAATAAATATGAAATTTGATCTATGCATTTTGTTGATGATATAGTAGGAAATTTCGAGAGGATTGATTAAAAAGTACTCTTGCAAAGAAAATGTGGTGATAATATTCTTAATTATCAAGGTATTTCAATCATTATATAGTTTTGTGAAACTGAAATATGAACCTATTGTTACTATGGAAGCACTTCTTTTCAATTCTGATGAAATATAATGAATGACAAGTCATTATCTATAAATACCTACCAAATTCGAGTATCGATCATTCTTGCGAGTTTCGCATCTGTACAGTGTATTAGGATTGATTGTAACAGAGGTGACTATGTCTTCATGAACTAGTAGCAGTTAACATTGAATGACAAAACTACCTTGGTATAGAAAACACACTTTACGGCTTGGAGAAGAGTACGTAATGGTAGGTTCTATAGCTGATGAGGACGATTTGAGTTTTTCGAGATTTTCTACCTTTATAGACATATAGTCTGATATTTGTTCGAGAATTCGAACAGCTTCTTTCAGCTCTTGCAGTGGTAACCAGATGGGTCAAAAATAGAAGACATGCTGTTAAGCTCCGGAAAACTTGATGCAAGGCCATTGAATTTCATCAGTAATCATTTCATGAGTTCTTTAATAGGGTGATGTTTTTTAATTTTAGATTTCACGCATGCTTTCGATCAATTGTTCAGATAGCAGACCAGTTTCTGGATTCCCTTCCACTTTCTTTCCGTTTGAAAACGATGAGATGAGAGACCTGCAGAACATCTCTTTCCAAAGACTCGTTCATCCAACGGACAGCGAGACACATTGCCAAGAGAGGTGTTCCCCGAGACATATAACCTCCAGAAATTCAAGAAGAACAATAATTCTTACCTTATCTCTCTTGGTTTCCACGATGTTCTCTGAACATTACAGGATATCCCTTCTCGTGGGAACCAGAACATAAAAAAAACGTAAAACTTAGGTCATAGATGTTCCGAAATCTTCAGTTGGAAAAATTAATATATCTGAACAGCAAAAGTGAATACATTGAATTAGAAGTACGATTCTGTAATACTAATGTCTGCTGTCGCTGGAAATCTGAGATATCCTGAGTTGTTACATTTTGGGCATCACCAATGCCTGAGATGGTTTCATGCAGAATCAGGACAAGTCAAGTCATCAATGTCGCAAACTGTACAGCCTAGGATTTGATTGAGATTGTCGATAACATTGTATGAATCTTTGATTACACAAGTCGGGGCCCCTGAGGCTCAGGGGCCTGTTAGAGGGCGTTGCTCAACACTGCTGTAGTCTAACACTTGTTTGATTCGATTGTCGATTTCATCAACACTGAGATTTCCGAGAGATATGCCAAACGTAACCTGGCTAGCCGCTAGTGGTTTCATCGGACCAGAACCTGCCATTGGCATCTCATATTTTGCCAAACATATACTGAACACTTAGACTGCCAGAAGAGTTGCAGACTCTTGGCAGAAATCCACCAGGATTGGTTAATTTCAAGGCATTCATACATCCTCCGAGAAATGTCACCAAACGAATGTTACAAAAAGAATATGAAAAAACACAAAGTCGGTCGACCACAGTTAATGAACGTGAAAATCACTCAATAAATTGTTACCGGTTTTGGCGCTACGGCCATCATCAGACAATGGATATTAGTACCTGTGAAGAAATTGTTGGTGGTATTTCTAAATATCATGTTCATATTGACGGAAGTGATTTCCTTATTCTAGCACTGATTCTTTTCATGACTTAATGTCTGGAATCGCTCCTTTTTCGAGATACAGGCCGTCAAAGTTGGAAATGTGTATAGATATATTCTCCTATGAAGTTTCAACTATTTCATCTGTTGCTCAATTTCAGTGGAAAAAGATACAATAACAAATCCCTTATTTAAGCAGGTGCCGCTAGAAATATGAATGGAGAAATGTTATTCAGTACCTACCGTTTCATTTGCCCTCAGCGATAAATCAATTTATTTCAATATATTCGATTCTCGTACAGAGGTTGCCTAGTGATTAAATGAAACCTATTTTTATTCCTACCAATTCTCCCACTTTTTGATGAAGAAAGAGGAATCAGAATAGGACAGAGAAACTTGCAGTCCTGAAGTGAACCGATAAATTACCTCCCCCCCCTCAATTCAGAAACATCCTGTATAATATAAACATTCAGGGTATCAATATCTTCGAACATGTTTCCAAATGTTCTCTGTTTGACCACATTTCTCAATCAGAAAAATTTATCATATATTCAAATGAATCTCAAGTCTTGCATATTTAATGCATATTATTCAAAACAGGTTCAAGGATAGTCCGACATGGATTGGACATGAGATAGACGTCCATAAGATATCTTGGATTTCACCTTTGTATGTATAAACTCACCTGATTTCAATTCAGGATTGTTATAATGTATTTCTAGCATGATATAGAGGTTGAATTTATCTCCACCAATAGGAAGTGACGCCTCCTGGAATAAAGAAATATATACATTTTTTATAGGTGTGCTGGACACGTATAATTAGGTGTTATATAGTGTGTTTGGAAATGGCTACATAGGAAATATTAATGAAATTTCTATCAAGATAATACGCAGGTGTGTCACATCCTTGATAATATTGATTGTTGTTTTAAGTTAAATTCTTTAGTTCTAAACTCTGTGACTGAACTGATCAAAATGAAAGACGATGATCACATCAGTACTCTTACGTGGTCAAGGAGGTTGAGGTTATGATCAAGTCATTTTGTTATCAATGAATTGAAGTTTTTCTTTTGGGAATATATGTATAATTTGAAATATCCGATTTCGTCTATATTTTGATGATTACTTGCAGCAAACATACATAATGACATGAGTTGAGGAATGAGGACTGAATAATGTGATTATTAAAAATCTTGGTTCTTCCCATAGTTCAATTCGAAAGAATACATCATGACTGATTCAATTCAGTTCTATAGTGACATATTTCAGATGATCCAGAACGAAAAAAACTCTTCAAAATGGAGGGTCTCCCAAATGATAGCAAACATTGTGATTCGATATCTGTCATGTGATCCATTTTTTAGTAGTAGTAGTAGTAGTAGTAGTACAAATTACTAGTAGCAGAATAATATGTTCTTCGTTGGTGCGTAGGTATGTACCTATAGGCCCTTCAGCTCAAAGTTTTCTGCATAGTGTGTTCTGTGCAGGCTTTGTTATCAAGTCCATACACCACCAGTGAATCGTACTGGACTATCCCAAGCCGATGCTCCTAACCTAATTCTCAAATTGAATATTTTTTGAAAAAGCCCTTGCCTTGACTGATATGAGTCATGTGCTCGTCTGCTGCTTTGTACGTGGCGTCACCACAAACTTCATAGTAGACGAGCAATAATCGAAGTAAGATTATAATGTGAGAGAAAAGAATAACGAATACTCTACCCTCTTTGAGAGGGTACGAAAAAAAATTGGTCCATTGGGGTCTGGTTTGCGGGCTTGCTTTGGTTGATCGAAAACGTGTTCAGAATATTGGAAATATCGAATAGCTTTATCAGGACATTACACGATTAATATCAGGTTGCAGTAAGTACATGAAAATAAACCCAGGAAGTGACATCTCGACTGGTATGGGATGGCGAGAGGAAACTGAGAACTCTGGCAGACCGGAACTGCGTCAAGTCAATCTGGGTGCCAGGTCATCGGGGGATCGCTGGCAATGAGACTGCTGACGAACTTGCAAAGACTGAATTCAGGCAAAACATAAGAGCTACTGGGAAAACATCCCAAGAAACAGACATGGGAAACAATACATTAAGGAACCAAGTCATAAACGAACTGTAGACCTGCTCAACTTGAACAGAGCACAGTTAAAAACTGTTACGGGACTCATGACTGGCCATGCGCCAGTAAAGTAGCATCTCGCCAGAATGGGACTGTACAATGGCGACCCAAGCTGCAGACTATGTGGCAAGGAGCCAGAAACAGTAGCACATATACTGTGCCGATGTGAGGCATTGGACCGCAGAAGACAGAAGATCTTTGGGCAACCAATTGGCCAACCAGAAATATACAACTCACATCCAGTGAAGGATTTGTACAGACTTTTTCAAGATACAGAGAAAATGGAGCGGGTACAATAAAGAACATTAGGTGAGATACAATGGGCCACCTTAGGCCTATGTGTCGTCGGAGACATGGTCAGACGAGCCTACAAACGGGGTGAAGTTTTTAGTGGGTAAACCTTGGCTAGAATCAGGGGAGTCCCACACAATCATATGGGGGATAGGACCCATATGGTGTCCATAAAGGATTTAAACCACCTCGACAAAAAAAATTCAAAACATCGGGAGAAATAATCAACAATAATTAATGAAATACGAGGATAAAATGCACTTACTTCTGGATAAATAAATGGAGGTGCACCCATCGCCCAAGCAGCAAGAACTTTCTTACATACACTGGTTTTTGCCGGCCGATCACTAGCAAAACAGTTGCCATCATATAATGGAATCTCTTCGTCCGGATTTGTTTCGCAATGGAACACTTCCATATGGTGAACGAAGCCCTGGCTTGATTGCTGAATTTTCGACTCATACTGAAAGCATGAATAAAGTGTTTCGAAATGTCTCGATAGGTCTGTATCAATGAAATATAATATATCTCCATCGTGAAGTACTATCCCAAAGTATAGTTAACAATCACGAACTGTTTTTCCCTAGAGCATCACACATTTTCTGAATATTTGAAGACATAAAAAAAATCTTGAAAGCGCAAAGTTGAGAGTGATTGAGGACATTGAGCACATGGTATCTAGGTGCAATCAGGTGAGTAGGATTTTTTTCTAGGAAGACACCCGATAACGAGAAGGTGCAACAACAGAAAAATGTCGAAGGAAAATTGTTGGCCACATATCAAATTTGCGCCCAAGGCAACATTACATACCTATTCAAGATGGGCAGCTACATTTCTCGAAGCATTTCATGTAGCAAAAATGGCGAAAAACTCTCAATAATATTATGGATTCAAAAGCGGAAGACTCGAAAAATATTCATTGAATATGAATAATGATAGAGCCGAGATAGAGGTGCAAAGAAACAGGTTAACAAAATGAGTTATAGCCAACTTTTCTTGTTATCAGACACAAAGAACATCGAAAGTTTTCATTTCGATGCTCCCAGGAGTGACTATGTATTATGTCTTTGGAAGTATGATACTGTTTCCAAGTATTTTCTCTCATGAACGTTCATGGGATAGCATCAATTCACGGCATTCTGTCTTGTTAAGTTATATAATCATCTCCTGATAATTGATATTTTCTAGAGGAGTCTAGATCATTATTGGGGAAGGGGGGTAGCAAGCCTTCGCCAAACTTTCAAAACTCCTCCATAACTGTGCCACTGAACAATAAGCAGAGCAAAAATGTTGCAGATCATCATTTTTATCAGCGACATCCTGAATAAACTTCCATAACCCTCTTAACCTTCACATTTCTATGGGGGTCTCGACCCTTTTGAAGTAGAAAAACATGCTTCCTATTCCCATTTAGTAATTATCAGGGATCGCCAGTATCAATACAGAGATAAATATGTTTGGTAAAATTTGCAAAAATAACATTGGTAACTTTTTTTCTGACCAGTCCTCGTGTCCTCTTGACGAATGAGAAAGTGGTTGTCTGAACATTTCAAGCACGAAATGTGCTAATCCTAAAATCAACACATATTCAAACCAACTTTATGTTACCGTATTTTTCTATTCTACGAATAATCTGTGCAGGGTTTGGGAAATCGCTAACTGTTGACTATTTGAAACTCATCATCTACCGTTCACGCTATCAAAATTTCTTATAGGATTTCATAAGCTCGCAGCTCTATTCTTCTCCTGTCGAGGAAATTGTTACCATCTAAGACCTACAAGGTGAAAGCCTTACTTTGAAGAGATGCAGTAGCTGTTTGGTTGATGATGATGGCGTAATTTCAACTATTGATAGTTGGTCCTGTGAGTTTTTTATCCAAGGCTTATCTAATAGAGTTTGAAAGTATGTTATTTGATGCTTCTTCGATATAGAGAGATATATGACTACCGCAATCTCATAATTGTTGAGGGATTCACTGTGTTATGTAGTGCTGAATTAAATTTTTAAAATCATCATGTGTACCTAAAGAGGATAGAGAGAGGAGGTAGGTGTCAGAATTTTTTGTGAACTTTTAGAGGTTTTAAGTTCTTGGGAATTGTAGAGAATTTCAAAGCCTTGCTGCCATATAGACAACGAGTTTTGATAAAGTATTGTTCGGAATGTTTCGAGATTGACAACGAAAGTATGTGCTGACTAAACCTGTCGAGTTCGTCTGACTGGTATTGCTAGTGATGGAATCATAGCAGATATTTCTGAGGAACATTTTCTGTAAAAGTATCTATAGAGAATTGAAAGGTCAACGACTTTTCTACAGTGTTCTAATGAGGTCGACGTACCAGTGAGTGTGATATCACCAACCAGGCAACTGGCTCTATTCTGGATGGAATCTGAGAGCATCAGCGTATGTTTGGATGCTGATGTTCAGAGGTAATATGTATGAAACGACAGGCCTGATATATCTGGCCAGCACCCTTTCGAGTCATTTCAACAAAAAAAATCATGTGAGGCTAATTGTTCTCTTGGGGTGTGGGTCTGTGCGGCCTTCTTTTAGTATGAATATCACGTGAGCTGGCAACCAAATGGGTTGTATTCGATTCCAGACTAGCACTTCACAGTCAAATGGGAATGGTTGGAAGTTTTGATAGTTTGTTTTGCAACAGAGCTAGAAATATACAATTCTCACCGGGAGATTTGAAGGGCTGGAACAATTCAATTGCTCATACCACTGCCGTTGTTGTGATTTTTATGGTATGATGATATACAGGGTGTCAATTTGAAAACTTCCCACCCTTAATATCTCCCTCCAAGTCGTTAATATGGAAAAACGAAAAGACAGTTCGATTTTATTCTCGAGGGGGACACTTTGAATTGATATTTTGACCATCATGGTTCAACCCCCTAGGAGGGGTAGATGTCACCCTCTGAATATGAATAGGGAAGAGGGGTCAAGTGGCACATCATTTTGTAGGGCGTTCAATTCTCTTTCTAACGATACCCTACTTTACTATTTTTTGACGAGCAATTTCTGAAAAATAGCGTTATAAATCTACAGAAGTGATCTAAACTTGCCTGCACAAAGATGCATGATTTTCAGGTTAGTATTTGAACAGAGATTTTTGAATTGATTCTCCTTTCAGTAAAACTAGTCAGGAAATTAGGTAACAACTTCACATCTTTTCTACAGTGGCAACATAATATCTTTCTTTTCAACGGTATATCCTACTTTACTATTTTTTGATAACCAGTGATTAGAACTTGCCTTAACTCAGATACATTGTCTTCAGGACGAAAATTATTGTTTTGAATCTTCCATTGATGAAAATGGTTAGAAGGTTAGGTGGCATCGTTACAATAGAAATAAATCTAGTCTACACACGTTTGATTTTTTGTTTGTTGGTTATATTACGTCGAAAAAAAACTTTCAGAGTGCCAGATAGAAATTTCAAACATCTATTCACGTACTATCTTATAAACTGTTCGAAATGTTGTCCATTTTGTTCTAAACAGTAATAAAGTCTGTTTTCGAACTCCTCTCTAACATTCTGGAAAACTTCACCACGAATCGAGCAGCATGCTGCTGTAATTCGTCCTTTGAGTTCATCAATATCCGTCGGTTGTGTTTTGTAAATGACGGATTTAAGATGTCCCCAAAGGAAAAAATCTAAAGGAGTCAAATCCGGTGATCTCGGAGGCCACTCAGTTGCTCCCCTTCTGCCAATCCATCTATCCAGGAATCTGTCATTTAACCACTGTCGGACAGGAAGCAAATAATGAGGTGGGGCACCGTCCTGCTGGAAATGTAACAGATCCCCCTGCAGAAGTAAATTACCGTCTGCATCAATTTGATTTTCTAGCTCGTGAGTTATAAGAGGATCGATAGTATCTTCCAGCATATCTAGGTACAGATTTCCAGTCAAATTTTCTTCAATGAATAAAGGACCAACAATGGCATTTCCAAGAATACCAGCCCAAACATTAATTTTTTGTGGTTGTTGTGTATGTCCTTCTCGAAAAATGTGAGGGTTTTCGTCACTCCAATAGCGACAATTTTGTCTATTCACATTTCCATTCAGAAAAAATGAACATTCATCGCTGAAACAGATATTTAATAATAGATTAGGGATGGCATTGACTCGATTCGACATCGTTTCACAAAATTCTATTCTTCTATCATAATCATCCTCATGGAGCTCTTGAAGAATCTGCATCTTATATGGATCAAATTTATGTAATTTCAGTGCTTTTCTCACAGTCTCGTGTGACATTCCCGTCTGTTCTGCCACTGAACGTAAGGAGCTAGTAGGTTCTGTAGCAAATGTTCCCAAAACTCCAATTTGAGCTTCTTCATTCAGTACTCTAGGATTATTCCTTTTTTTATTTTTCACCGAACCAGTTTCGTTAAACTTTTCCACTAAATCAAGCACATACCGGTGACTAACATTACAATCTGGATTTCTTTCATTAAAAAGAAATGCCGCTCTTCGTGCGCACTTTCCATCCTCTCCATAAATCACAATCATTTCAGTTCTATTTGAAAGAGTGTAAACCATTTTCACAATTATAGGTACCTACTCTGAATAAACGTATTACTGATTAGCTCAACAAATAAAACTCATCAATCAATAATACTACCAGATCGTTTGAATTTGCTGAACAATTTTTTGCTCAAAAAACAGAGTTTTTTTAAATCAGCAGTGGCAAGAAATGAACAAAAAAGGAAGGCCATCTGTAGAATTGAAAATCCAATGATAAACGCAAATAAGCTATCATCGAAATGTCACTATTAGATTATTGATGTTGATTTATTGGAGCTGATGGCTAATTATGTTGCCCCTGTTGAAAAGATGTGAGGTTGTTACCTGTTTTCCTGTCCAGTTTTACTGAAAGGAGAATCAATACAAAAATCTCTGTTCGAATACTAACCTGAAAATCATGCATCTTTGTGCAGGCAAGTTTAGATCACTTCTGTAGGTTTAGAACGCTATTTTTCAGAAATTGCTCGTCAAAAAATAGTAAAGTAGGGTACCGTTGGAAAGAGAATTGAACGCCCTTCAAAATGATGTGCCACTTGACCCCTCTTCCCTATTCATATTCTGAGGGTAACATCTACCCCTCCTAGGGGGTTGAACCATGAGGGTCAAAATGATTCATTCGAAGTGTCCCCCTCGAAAATAAAATCGACCTGTCTTTTCGTTTTTCCATATTATCGACTTGGAGGGAGATATTGAGGGTGGGAAGTTTTCAAATTGACACCCTGTATACGTATTCTGTATATATCAGGACACCGTTACGGAGAAGATTAGTTCTTGATCTCATTGGCTGTTAGAAGATTGTCACTATTGGTGCTCATGTCATGAGCATCACACAACAGAAAATTACAGGCCTGTTCTAGTACCACCAGGACTTTCTAAGCTCTTTGAATATGCCTTCCTTCACAGACTTCTTAATTTCATAAGAACGAATGAAATTATATCTGATAATCAGCATGGTTTTACTCAGAAAAAATCAACATCCTCAGCAATTCAATCATACTACTCGGAAATAGCAAATTATGTAGACGTAGGCGAGTGCCCTGTAGGAATTTTTATAGACCTGAGCAGGGCATTCGTCATGAAATTCTTGTCGAAAAACTGTACAGGTACGGAATAAGAGGAATCGCTCTTGCATGGGTATCCAGTTATCTATCAAATCGCTCACAATTTGTCTCTTTGAAGAATTCTCGGTCTAATGCCAAGAACGTAACCCTGGGAGTGCCGCAAGGGTCCATCCTCGCTCCGATACTTTTTAACCTCTATACGAATGATATAAATCAATTGAATGTTCCAGCATCCCTCACCTGTTATGCTGATGATACCTCGATAATAATCTCTGATAGGGCTGACAAAGAATTAATAGGCAAAATTGACAACACTTTCTCTATTCTACAGGAATGGTTTGCAAACAATGATTTGTTTCTTAATAGCAGCAAGACTTCATCAGATATATTCCATACGAGACAAAAACTATGTAATGATCTGAGCTTTAGGGTTGGTGAGTCAACCCTAAACACGAATCAGGAGGTTGTTAAATTCTTAGGCGTATTTCTTGATGAATGTCTTACCTGGTATAAGCACTGTGAATACATTGTGAAAGGAATTGATGTTATAAATTTTCAACTCAGGACTCTGAGAAATACCTTGAATTTAAATCGATTGTACAGTCTCTACTTTGCTCAAGTGGATATTCGATATGGTATATGTTTCTGGGGGTCATCTACATCAGCGAAGGATATTTTTCTGGCTCAAAAAAAGGCTGTAAGAAGTATGATGGGCATCCAGAGAATGTATTCCTGCAAGCCTTTTTTTATAAGGTTGAAGATATTAACGCTGCCCTGCCTCCTTATATTTGAATTATGTATCTATGTATTTGTTAACAAGCAACTGTGTGCTCACAACAGTGATAAACATGATGTGAATACTCGCTCGAGAAACGAATTCTATATTCAACCAAGCAGAACAAATATTTTGAGTAATACACCAAATATACTGAGTCCTAGAATATTCAATAACTTACCTGAATATTTGAAAAACGCTAAAAAAGTATCTTCTTTCGAAAAATGCTTGAAATCATTTCTCATTGAAAAGTGTTTCTACTCGCTTGACGAATATTTTCATAAATGACCATGTTTCTCTCTTTCCTCTCTATTATATAATGTTCGTCTATCATATTATGTAATCTGTCATTTATCTAGTTTTAGATTTATATATTTGTAACAACCTGACTATTCCTATACTTTTTCAGAAAGTCTAAAGGAGAATAAAGATATTTATTTATTTATTTATTTATGTCGATGTATCAAGTCAGGAGCGATTATGGAAGGTGCCAATTTTTCTAATTGGGACGAAGTATTTGTGATGATTTCAAATGTTTGCATCATATAATATTTATACATGAGGAAGATAATGTGGCTCTCATTTAATCAGTGTGTAGCTACAACCCCATTATGATCTTTTTTCCGTGCAATCAAAATTATATTAGCTCAACCCCAATAGAGGGTGACAGGAATCAATATATTTCGCGTGAACAATGAAAGAGATTGAAATGAATTGATATTAAATACCTGTTCTATATAAATTCAGAATCCTATTATACCTCACCTGGTAGATGTGATGCTTTCGTCTGAATTCATCTGGAATCTTCACGACGTGACACCAATAAGTGGTTTCCTCAGCGGGAACATGATTTTTGTCGACAACGATGTCCAACACTTTTATATCCGGTGGTAGAACTGTATTCACTTCTGTATTTTTCAGAAGTTGTACTCTTATCATACCGTGGTTTCCAGAAGGTGAGCTGACGTTCAGACCACTAGGTTGATATAATTTGTGATAACCTCGGAACCAGACCATGTGGGTAGTGCCATCCTGAAAATACAGATGAAACATGATTAGTGCATGCTGCATGGAAAATTATTCTGAAAAGGAGGTACAGTCGTATTCAAAAAAAAAAGGGTACAAGTATATTGAAGGGAACAATTAAAGTCATCCTATTTGCGTAAAACGGGCTATCGGAAATGAATGTTTACCAATTGGCTGAGCCAATTTTACACAACGAGAACTAGAATGCCGAAATCTTCTATGTTTAATACTTGTACGCTTTTTTATTGAATACGACTGTACAGATGGAAAAAAATTTGGTGTTCTAATTGGGTAAGTCTGTATTCATGGGGATACAAGAAAATGGAAGTGTCAATTTCATTCACTGACGGAAACAAAAATTATAGCCATCGTCTTCTGTTTTAGAGGTATGAACCAAAGGACGTTCTCATGACTTTAAGACAGATGGTTGCTCGTAAAGCTAATAGCAGATAACTTCTACATTGTTGAGTCACTTTTTTGTATACAGTCACGTCTAGAAAATTCGAAAACAGCTGCAATTTCATGTAATGGTCTAAGTTCACTCCTAAGTTCACTTTCGAACAATGCATCATATTGGCTTGCTTAACTCGAAATAAATCTATTCATTTCGAGAAATCACAATCCATGTAACAGGATAAATGCATCAATTGATAACTGATTCATTGATGGATTTATAAAATTATCAGAAACATATCTCACGGATACAGAAAAGTCATTGATAATTGAAGATTTCAAATTCAATATCAAACATGAAAACGATATAAACTGGCATAGAAACAGAAAGAGCTTCGAAAAGAACTGTCAACAATATTATTAACAATTGTCGACTCCGAATTAAAAAAATATAGTTCTTTTACGAATAATATGAAGATAGTGGATTCCATAAAAAATAGATGAATCCAAAATGATAGCATGTTTAAGAGCAGATAAAAGAAACACAGCCATCGCTATTAACAGGAATGATGAAATTGGGCATATTCAAACATGATGATTCTACCAATTCTTATGGTTTTTGGTTCATGGATTCAATTGAACTAACAATTAGGAATCAAGAATTGACAATAAATTGGTAATCAAGAGGGTGTTTATACATTTCTGATATTAATTAAGAATCAAACGTGAAATGTCTTTTGATTGAAAGATCAAAATGACGTTAAATCACCAAACTCCACTTGAACAATAACAAGTCCAATCTTTATGTTCTATCTCCAGATTTTTTTATTTCTCAGTTGTTATGATGAAATCAGGCCAACTTTGTGATTTCTATTCTAAATTTAGGAGACAGATGTGAATGTTTGAACAATCATGAATGTTCCCTTCTATTCAACTTCTCAAGTTCATAGTTGTTAGTTTATAATTCACAGTTCAGTTGAATCTGTAAACCCAACATTACCAATTACAGATTAAAACTTTTTGAGGAATTCTGAATCTGTTTTCAAGAATACCGAGAAATTCAGATCAACTATCATGAATCCTCAACCTCCAAAACTACATTCTCTTATCAAATAACACCCCATTAGTTCAATCTGTCACTGATCCTTCAGTTAAACTATTCCGGGCAAATTGAACACGTTAATAAAAAAACTATTGTAATTCTCAATCAGAATTCAGCTTAAGGAATTCTTACGACTTGATAACTAAAATTCATAATGTCACTCTACCCAAAAACATAAAATTAATTTCATTTGATGTACAAAACCATTTTCCAAGTATACCATCCAAAGAAACTATAACTTTATTCAAAGAGATATTAGATCAAAACCATGTTGATCAGATCACCAAACAATTTTTTTTTCAATTTGACAGCAGAATATATTCCGCTTCAAATGGGTTGATCATGAGAAATCTACGGAGCCCTTTAATTGCTGAGATTTTCGAGGATGATTCTAAGCGAATCATACATAGATAAACATTAAGAATAGTTATTTATCATACAAGGGAAACACGTAGTAGATTTCAGCTCAAGGTTGTGTTTCAAAATTCCGTGAACTAAAATCTAATATTTTTCTGTGTATAATACACTATTTATGCTTTTGACATAAGAAAGGATGAATCAATATTGGTAAGATATTACATTATAATAGAATCAGAAGATTATCGACGTGAAATTTGAAGTTTCTGACAGGAGTTTCACCTTCGTTGCAGGCAACTTTTTGCAGGCATCTTATCATTCTATCGAAATAATCGAATATCTTTCAGTCCAATACTGTGATTTGATTGAAAAAAACTGCGAACTTAGTGGTTGTTTAGTTGTCGTAGTTATCGTATTCACGGTTGGGTGGACATAATCTCAGTATATAAGTAGCCAACTAGGATAGAGCATTTAGTTTCAATCTCCTTCTGAAAATGCTAACATAGTTAGCGAAACTCGTGTCGAGGTGTAAAAAATCGGTTTGGTTATAGTGGTAAAACAGTGTGTAGTGTATAAATGTAGGTATGTATATTGATTCAAAAGTGTACGAATGCATGACTGAGAATCAAGTTTACATATTTTTCAGTCCAAATATAAGGAGGAAGAATGAAAATATTATACATTCATTATTATATATTTCGAATGGAGACAGCAAGTTACACTGAATTTCATACATTCCCCATTGATTATTCAGTGGAGTGAATAAATGCAACTTTTGTATTTGTTTTGGTTAATGTGATGTGATACAGACCTAATATATCATTCACAGGAGCTGGTCGTTTTCAAGAGTGAAATAGTATATTTATTTGTATGCCTAGCCCACGTAGTGATTTTTCGAAATAAAATTTATCGCCGATGCCGTTTCCGGCCGAGGCAAGATAATTTTTAGGTAGCCAAACAGTTTCTCAGTCATGGTGTGATCAATATTTTTCGTGCAATTTTTAAAATTTTGACAGTTCTTGACAAAGAGAAAATATGATCGGAGCCGTTGCTCTGGGTAACGCTGCGAAGTACTGTGTAGAGACATCGATAGAGAACCCGAAGTAATCTCTCCTCATACGATTGCACGAAAAATCTTTCAATTAATTCTGGATGGAATGAATATCACAATCATTTTGCATACAGGGTATCAATTTGAAACCTTTCAATGCGAGTATCTTGCACAATAAAATAGTTGAAAAAACGCCGTTCAGAACAAATGTCATTTATAGGGCGATTGCATGATAAGAATGTCTGATTTCGAAAAAGTGGGACCAAAGATTATATCTCCGTAATTGAGATGAGACGCTCTCAAAAAAATCTCGAGATATTCATTAGAAAGATCAGTTCAATATCACCAAAGCTCTGCGAAGTATATAGGTATATCATCGCATGTTAGATAAGTATCTCAACCTATTTTCTGAAAGTAATCCTGCGAATTCACCATCTCCTTGTAGTGCCAAGCCCACTTCACCAGCCACAATATTTATGAGATCATAACAACACTTGTGGACTGGTGTACCTACTACCGAGAATATGACGTTCGATCTAGTAGTATCAAGTAAGTAAGAATCAATATCCGAGTAGAATTTAGTGAAAATCAGCTCTAACGATTCGATGTCTCCATTGATTCGTTTACATGCTATTGCAATAGTGTGTATCATCAGTATCTAATTACCAATGTTTCAGGAAGGTGTTGAATTGAAGTGTGTATATTATGAACGTGAGATGACTAGATATAGACAGAGGAATGTCTTTTCCCAAGTGGAGATATATTAGGATGAACCAATCACCCTATATACAATGGAGACAATGAATGTCATTAATTAATGAATTCGAACTTTTGTCATTCGATCTGTCGAATATACTTTTACTTAACGAACTACGTGTATTCATTGCAACACTAGTTAACATTTGGCGACGAGGATAATGGATCCTGAAATCGTTTCTAAGATTTTGGAACAGCAGAACAAAATCCTGGAGATGCTGACACGGAAAGTTACTGACACCGTGGTAGAGCCCAATTCAAATAACATGGAATTTACCATCGAGTCATTAGCCAGAAATGTGACGGAGTTCGTACCAGACCCAGAAAATAATGTAACATTTGAATCATGGTATAAAAGATACGAAGATTTATTCCTTGTTGATGGAGCCAAGTTGGATGATGCAGCCAGAGTTCGTCTACTGCTTCGTAATCTGAATACCTCTGCACATGAAAGGTACACAAATTTCATTTTACCCAAGCATCCCAGAGACATCAATTTCGAAAGTAGTGTTAGAATCTTGAAGAAGATTTTTGATACGCAAGCATCAATATTCAGCTTACGCTATAAATGTCTTCAACTCAATAAACATGAATCGGACGACTTCCTAACCTATGCTGGAAAGGTGAATAAACAGTGTGAATCTTTTCAACTACAGAAGTTGAATGAGAATCAGTTCAAGTGTCTGATTTTTATTATTGGCTTAAAATCATCAGAGTATTCAAATATTACGACTCGTCTCTTATCGCAGATTGACAAAGATGAGAGAGATGACATATCGTTAGAAACCCTTGTGGATGAATGTCACAGGATCATCAGTCTACAGGAAGATACAGCGCTCGTTGAAGAAAAACGACAATCTTCATCTGTACATGCAGTTCATGATAAAAAGAAACATGTGAATAAAAATCCATCCGGTAACCCTGATATGCCAAGAACACCCTGTTGGCAATGCGGAGAAATGCATTTCAGAAAGGATTGCAACTTTTCCAGTCACAAATGCAATTCTTGTGGTGAAATCGGACACAAAGAAGGTTACTGTTCCTGTTTTCAGAAGTCATCATCAGAGACACCCCAAGAAAGGAAGAATTTCAAGTACAATAAGTTCCACAAAAGGCAGACAAATAGCATATTTATCAACCAAATCAATTCTTCACGAAAATACATAGATTTGATGATAAATGGTACTCAAGCAGCACTTCAGTTTGATTCCGCATCAGATATCACCATCATCGATGAAGAATTATGGAAGAAAATTGGTAAACCCGAAATAACTAAAACAACGCAGGTTTCTTTCAATGCTTCAGGCCAAACAGTGAACTTACTTGGAGAAGTCAATTGCGAAGTTTTATTGGGTCATCAACAAAAATCAACAACTGCAAGATGTTTTGTAACCCCTATAAAGCAACTTAATCTCTTAGGAATTGACTGGATTGAAATTCTCGGCCTTTGGGATATTCCAATAAATACAGTATGTAACAAAATTGATGTTACGCCACAAGTTCCAAAAACCATAACTTTGAGTACATTACAAAATACATTTCAAGATATATTCAAAGAAGGACTGGGTCACTACAATAAATCTAAAGTTAAACTGTATGTTAAACCAAATGCAAAACCAATTTTCCGTCCGAAACGACCAGTAGCGTATAATGTGAAACAATCCATAGAAGATGAGTTGATTCGGTCAGAAAACGAAGGAGCACTCACACCTGTTGATTTTTCTGACTGGGCAGCACCTATCGTTGTCGTTCGGAAGCCCAATGGGAAAATACGCATTTGCGCTGATTACTCTACTGGCTTGAATGATGCTTTCCACTTCCACTACCAGAAGAGATATTCTCGAAGATTTCGAATGGTATCATGTACAGTACTGTCGATCTGTCTGATGCTTACCTTCAAGTGGAAGTCGATGATGAATCCAAGAAGTTGTTGACAATAACGACGCATAAAGGACTATTTCAATTCAACCGACTGTCTTTTGGAGTCAAGACAGCTCCTGGTGCGTTTCAGCAGATCATGGACACTTTATTAGCTGGTTTAGACATGGTGGCTCCCTACCTAGACAATATCATCATTTCTGGTAGGACAATCTCAGAACACAATGAAAATCTCTTCAATGTATTACAACGTATCCAAGATTCCGGTTTTCGGCTCAAACTTGAAAAATGCAAATTCTCCATGACACAAATAAAATATTTGGGACACATTGTAGATAGAAATGGCATTAAACCTGATCCTTCGAGGATTGAAGCAATATCAAAGATGCCACCACCTAATGATCTACCTACTCTCAGATCATTTTTAGGTGCCATCAACTACTACGGAAAATTTGTTAAATACATGAAAAACCTGAGAGGAGCATTGGATAATTTATTGAAGAAAGATGTCAAATGGAACTGGACCAGTCAATGCCAAAATTCTTTTGAGAAACTCAAAGTTGTATTGACCTCGGATCTATTACTCACACACTATAAACCGGATCTTCCAATTATTGTAGCAGCCGATGCATCGAGCTATGGACTAGGGGCTTGCATTCTACATAAATTTCCTGATGGGCATCTCAAAGCTATTTGTCATGCATCACGTTCGCTCACTCCTGCTGAACAGAAATTCAGTCAAATAGAAAAAGAAGCTCTTGCTCTGACATATGCTGTTACCAAGTTTCATAAGATGATTTTTGGAAGAAAATTCACATTGCAAACAGATCACAAGCCACTTCTATCTATTTTTGGATCAAAGAAGGGAATTCCAATCTATACCGCGAATCGCATACAAAGATGAGCCCTTACTCTTCTGTCATACGATTTTGACATTGAGTACACATCTACAGCTTCATTTGGACATGCTGATGTATTGTCAAGACTAATAGATCGTACAGCTGTTCCAGATGAAGAATTTGTTGTTGCCGCTATACATATGGAGAATTGCATCAAACAGGTGATTGATGCAGCAACAGAAACTCTACCAGTTACCAAATATATGATTGCGAAAGAAACTCAAAAAGATCCTATTTTGCGAGAAGTAATCTCTTTTATTCTAACTGGATGGCCAACAAATAATGTAGAGAATCAAGAAATCCGTCAGTTTCTTAACAGGAAAGACTCATTGTCAACTGCAGAAGGCTGTATCCTTCTATGCAGTCGTGTAGTCATTCCAAAAATGTTTCACCAGAAAATTTTGAAGCAGCTCCACAAAGGACATCCAGGTAAAGAGAGGATGAAATCTTTAGCTAGATCATATGTTTATTGGTCTGGGCTAGACAAAGACATTGAAGATTTTGTTCACCGCTGTGATAGTTGTCTACAAGCTTCAAAATCACCAGTGAAAACTGAACTAGCTTCCTGGCCTATACCTAGCAAGCCATGGGATCGACTTCATATTGATATTGCTGGACCAGTAGATGGTTTTAGCTACTTCATTATTGTTGACGCTTATTCAAAGTGGCCAGAGATTTTCAGAATGAAGTTCATCACCAGTACAGCTACAATTAAGAAACTCAATAAAGTATTTTCTACGTTTGGTCTTCCAAGAACATTGGTATCTGATAATGGTACACAATTTACAAGTTTCATTTTCAAGCAGTTTTGCCAGTCAAGAGGAATTGAGCATGTACAGGGTATCCCAATTTGGGCACTTTTGCGGGGTATCTCCCTTATCAGTAAAGATAGAGCATTGCGGTTTTCGCGACAGTGTGCTACTTTTTTATGAAATTAATAATGGCGCAAGCAGAATTGTGGAGCTCTTCCGGTTGTCTAGATACAGGGTGGAATTGAAAAATATCACCCCCCGTGTCTCAGTTATCTTTGAACTTATCGAAGAAGTTAAAACTTGTTTTCATAGAGTTTTTCTCGTTGAATCCAGTGGCGTAGTTATTTTTTTGCTAGCACCTTTTGTTTTTTAGTTATGGAGCAAACATATGTTTTTTTAAATGGAAAATAATTGTATACAATTATATATTTTTGGAAAGCCCACTTCATGCTCAATGTGTATATGAAATAATATACAGAGTGTTCCATTTAAAAAAACATATGTTTGCTCCATAACTAAAAAACAAAAGGTGCTAGCAAAAAAATAACTATGCCACTGGATTCTACGAGAAAAACTCTATAAAAACAAGTTTTAACTTCTTCGATAAGTTCAAAGATAACTGAGACACGGAGGGTGCCTGAAAAGTGATATTTTTCAATTCCACCCTGTATCTCGACAACCGAAAGAGCTATCACGATTCTGCTTGCGCCATTATTAATTTCATAAAAAAGTAGCACACTGTCGCGAAAACCGCAATGCTATATCTTTACTGATAAGGGAGATACCCCGCAAAAGTGCCCAAATTGGGATACCCTGTACGTACACCAGTCTACCATCCACAATCAAATAGTTTGGCTGAAAGATTTGTCGATACATTTAAACGCGCCTTGAAAAAGATGGAAGGAGAGGGGACTACAAAAGAAAATATTTTGACCTTTCTGCACACCTAATAGATACGGACCAGAAGGTAAATCCCCAACACAGTTAATGTTCGGTAGAAATTCTAGAACACTTCTGGATTTACTCATTCCATGTACTGAAGAAGAGAAAACAGACAAAAATGTTACAATGGAAAGACAATTCAATCAAAAACATGGAGCAAAGAAACGAGTTTTCGCGGTAGGAGAGCAAGTTTTTGCAAAAATCCGTAACAGGAATGGAGAGAAATGGGTACAAGGAAACATTATCGAAAGGATTGGGAGTGTCATATATAATGTATTTTTGGTAGAAGAACATAGACTTATTAGATCTCATGCCAACCAATTGAAATTCAGAACTTGTACTTCATCTACTTCCACTCAAAAGTCGAGTGATATTTCCATTATTACTTTATTGGATGCATTCAGTTTACCTCGTATTGAAACAACTGAATTAATCGATGAAGGAAGGACTCAAGATACACAGGAAAGTGATGAGGCTAACTCACACCAGAACATGCAGCAAATTTTATCATCACCATGTGAATCACAACAATCCCAAATTCAGATATGCCCAAACTTCAAGACCAAGACGAGTTCATCGGCGTCCACAAAGATTTCAGGATTATGTTTAGTTTCAACGGGGGGAGGTATTAGGATGAACCAATCACCCTATATACAATGGAGACAATGAATGTCATTAATTAATGAATTCGAACTTTTGTCATTCGATCTGTCGAATGTACTTTTACTTAACGAACTACGTGTATTCATTGCAACACTAGTTAACAAGATATATAAGCTTGAGTGTTGATAGTACCAAAACGAATATTATCAGTTACCTTCATATCATATCATATCACCTCAATTCATGAGGACGAATGTTATACAACTAAAAATAGAAATAGAATAATCATAATTCAGTGTATGTCAAATGGCACTACCTCTTTTGTGATACCTCAAATAGGGGGTCTCATTTGTATTCATCTATACCTACTATAATTTTTCTCCATCCAATAATTCTCACATTCTAAATATCAGAATAGGGGTAGTGACATTATTCAAAGTTGGGAAGTGTCGTACCCAAAAAGTTGAACACCCAAGATATGGTGGTTTCAGTTTCCCCTAACTCGCTAACATTTTTGTCAAATGGCGTTTTTCCAACTGCTTCAATCTGCGAGTTATTTGCATTGAAAATGCGTACACCTGATGAAACTCACCTGTATGATATAATCTTTGTCATCACAAGTATCAAATTTCCGTTTGAAAGTGAATTTGGTAACATCATTTCTTCTCTTCAGTCTGAATCCATCACAGTCTTGCAGTTTGTCGAGTTGTATTATACCTTTATCATTAGCGAAAGAATCCTGAAAAAGTATAGTTACATAAAATTATTAATATGTTTTGTTCCCTGCAGTATGAAATAGATATCCATAAAGCTAGTACAGATATGGTTCTTGGGACGGAACGTGATGATTATTATATGGAAAACAAAATATTATCAATTATTCACTGAAAATATTAGAGACAAGTTTCTATGAATTCTTGTATCAAATTATTCAACTGGAAATCGCTTTCTTCTCAATCAATTCTGAAGTAATTATTCATATTATCCAATTATAATTCAATATTCAATTTTGTTTCCTCACTTTATCAGAAGTTTTACTTTTGATGCTCATTTCTTCAACACCCTGCCAGTTATCCAAGGTACATCATCAAGACGTTTTTAAGTCGAATATTTTTCAATAAAATGTGCGTATTGACGACGTCTTCTTTAAGTATTATTTTGGTCAGAATTATCATCGAACACCAGCTTTCAGACAAATTGGTGTTCGATGGTCATGTAATGTAGGTATGTCACTTAGAAGACGTAGTCAATACGACTCGTTTTGGTTCCAGAATAGTTTCATTATTATTATTATTATCATCAATCTGATGATGTCACAAGAACACCTTGATTTTTTATCATACTGTCTGTATATAGATTGATCGGGAGGGGAAAGGGGTGAAATATTCCTTCTGTTAAGTCGTGTTTTTCGTCGATTATTCTCGTTTTCAGCATATCAGCTCTTATTCGAAGTCCCTGACATACTTTTTCTTCTTTATCTCTGTCATTCACGTAGGTTACTAATTAATTCTCTCCTGTTTCAATATATACACAGGGTCAATATATACAGGGTCATCATAGATAATTATTGTTATGAAGACATCACATTTCTCTTCTCAGTGACGAAAATCCGTTTTCTTCACCATCAGTAAGCAGGCGACATAGTTTAGCAACGGGACGACGATACGTGGACATTTTTGTTTACACATTTGCCACTCGAATCCGGGCATCTGTTTCTGGAATAGTTATTTTCCTAACAAGTGCGGAAAGTTATTCTTTCCCGCACGCGACTGCCGTTGACACGAACGACGCGAAGCGGAGTTCAGGCAAGCAGTCGAGTGCGGGAAAGACACTTTCACCAATCCGATGAACCTCTCCCAAGCACCACCCATATGTGGCGAAGCAGCTGGTATACATTTGGAGTTGATACCCTCCGAAACCATTGTATCAGTCATGGTGAAACGATCCAACTCCAACAGGGCCCTTTTCTGTTCCTCAGCAGCACCTCTGCAGTTGTTACCATTGTCGCAATATATGGTTGCTGGTTTTCCTCTTCTCGTCATCATCTGTCTTATCGCCATGATGGCAGAATCGGTTGTTAGACTATGAGCATCTTCTAGGTGGATTGCTCTTACTACCATGCATGTGAATAAGACTCCCCATATTTTTTTTGTCCGTCCTCCGACCGTGACCTATGATGTTCCGAAATATTCCACTCCTACGATCACGTATGCTCGAATATCTGGGATCAAACGAACAGCAGGCAGTTGCCCCCATCCATCGGGGTCACTTTCGAATTTCTACATTTCAGGCAGCAAGTGTACATCGACTTGATGGTGAATCTCGATCACCCAAAATTTTTTTCGTATCTTGTTGAGAATTGTTTCTACTCCCTGGTGTCGAAATTCTGCGTGATAGTGCTGGAGAAAATTCGTGTATTTATATCGTGAGCTCAGTATATAAGATTTCATGAAAACTTTGCCACAGAATATCTGATCCAGTGTAGTTCACCCTAGTTGGTTCCATTCAGAGAAAGACATTTCCCGAAAATCAATTCTTGTTTTCTTACTTTTCCAATTAGTTTTCTGCAGAATCCAGGACTCATGAAGTTGATCTTATTAGACGGAGCCATCTGAAAAATCTATTGATTTCAGGAAGGAAAGTATATTCTTTATGGAAGACTACAGCAACAAGTACAGCTCCTACTTTCATTTCCGTATCAGTTGCATCATCGTGAACTTCTGACTGTTTGTTCTTCTGAATTGGCCAATATTGTTCAAGCTTTATCAAGAATTCCGGACCATGAATCCACTTGACGAACATACTTTCACATGGTTCATTGGGAGTCGATCTTGCTGCTTCATCTGCAATATTTTCGTGTGATGGAACCCAAAACGCTATTCATGTGAATTCTTGTATCTCCCCGATACGGTGTGCCACAAACTGCTTGTATTTCCTTCCATCTGCCTTTATTCAATCAAGAACACATTTAGAGTCAGTCCAGAAGTGAGTACCTTGAATATCAATCTCTAGATGTTCTTTCATGCTACAGGCAAGCCTACTAGTCATAACGGCTGCCTGTAACTCCATACTGGGAATTGATAATGGCTTCAATGGAGCAACTTTGGTGTTTGCTGCTACTAAAGATACATCAATTCAGCTCTCTGTAACTATTCTTAGGTAAGACACTGCAGCAAAAGCTTTCTTACTAGTGTCAGCAAATAAATGTAACTCAATGTTTATCGGGAGAGGAATGCATCTTGGAATTCTTATTTTTGCTACTTTCTCCAAGTCTCTGGTCCACAAAATCCAATTTTTTTCAAGTTCACTTGGAAGTTCACACTGTAAGAAATCCTTTCGAGTGACTGCAAATTTGGTAATGAGTTAATCAACTGAGTGGATTTTTTGAGTAAACATTCAATGAAATCTGGGTATTTTCACAATTCCTTCCAATTATGACAATGTTTATGACAAATTTGATTGAATAGCACAAATTTTGGAATAAAACAAACAAGAAAACCATACTAGAGTGGCTCTTACTCAATCATTAGATGAAACATGTGAGAATTACTCATTATCGAGCGATTTCACCAAATAATTGGTGAAAGGGCCGGTCCATGCGCTGTAGGTATATTGATGGCGTCTCTGTCATCTCACTGTCTCAGTCCTTTTTCAACGTGCAAACAGTGAACAGTGTATTTGGGAATAACATGATGACCGTTCTAAGTCACCACAATATTATATGTTTCAATTATTCTAAATGAATAACTTCGGAGTAAAGGAATGTCCGAATCTCTGATGTGGTCATCAGCGAGAAAGATTCGAGCCAGCTCGAGACTATGCAGAGGCCGTTTTGTCCAATTGATAACGCAGCGTCAGTCTTGATGGAAGTTCAGTGCATAAAAACATTCATGTGCTTTCCATTTCAGCGAAGTGAATTGTAATTGAAGTTCGAGCAGAAACATGTTATTCGCATTATTATATCTGTGAAGTTTGGGAATACTCACTGCGGGTAAGTTTAATTTCGTAAAATACATGATGGCTTTCAACAACATGGCTGATGATCGTGAATTGTATCAAATAATTCAAATATTCATTTGGATGATGTGATTCTTAAGAATTGTATTGCATATATAGTGTTGATTTATATCCGATTACCTTTTTTTTTTTTTTTTTAATCGATTGGAGCGCACGAAAGGGAATCCCTATAATGTTCAAAGAACATCGTGCGTTCAGATAAATCAATATAGGTACTTATTCTTCTGTTGAATAGTCCATATCGCCGTTGATGTCTTTCACAGCCATGCACGGCCATATTCGTGTGTTTGCTTTTCACTCAATAGTGACCGAAAATTATTGAAATAAGAGTATATTTCAAATCAGAAATGAATAAATTGAATCATCATTGATCACATTATTTCCAAATTAGGTATATTGAATCTAAATTGAGAGAGTGTTATCAAAACTGATTGAATAATTCAATTATTGGTGAATTTGTCTCTATTTAAGTAACATACCCAGAACAAATCTGCTCTGAAGAATACATTTTTGAATCACCTGTTTATATATGCATTTTTTGTCTGCAGATTGATGTGACTGTCAACGTGTCAACAAGCTTGTTAGTAAGATTCTGCGCTGCGAGAAGAAGCCATATATACTTGATTTCGGAAGGCGAGACCGCATGTACTGATGATTTCAAATTGTGTTAGCTTTGTTCTTTATTAGGAGTACATTGTGATTGTAATTGAATTGTAATCTACTCTGATTTTTAATAAACTTTTGTACTATATATCGTATTCACTCAATATTGTATGAAACCAGTCATGAAAAGTTTCAAAATATTCATTTTGGGTATGAAAGCACTCAATAATGGGCATATACATACTCAATAAATGTTCTAGGCACTCAAAAATGAGTTGAAACTCACTCAAGAAATCGCAAAGCTGAAATAATATTCAAATCTGACCTGGGAACATCGACTCAATTGTGATTCCTTATATTCACTCATTCAATTACCATCTCACTCAGTCAAGTAGAGTGAATTTTCAACTCAATCGGGCGTGGACCGAAATTGAGACATTATTGAGTGAAGTTTGAGTGAAAATTCACTCATTTTTTTTTTTTTTTTCAGTGCATCGTCTCAATCGATACCAGCTCTCCGTATATCTTGCATGATGATTTTCGCCATTACTGTATATAATGCTATCATTCCTAGAGGATCTAATATTGAGTGACACTTTTTGCACTTGTCAGCTTTTCATCGAAGTTCACTACTATGTAACCTTGGTGTCCACTGAGTCCAAATGATCGTCAACCAAACATTTTTGTGTCGTAGCTCCCAAATTCTTGTTAGAAAAAGCTTCTTCTCGAGCATTCAAATATTCGATGAATTGGGCACAGACAGGAGAGCATGTGGCCCAAAAAGCTGCATATATTCCGGGAGGACGTGATTCAATGTTCTGCGTGACATATAACCGGAAAAGTAGTTGTGTTTCTTCTTGTTATCTACCCATCATACGTGGAAATGATTTTGAGCTTCGCATATATATTCGACATTTCATTTTACTTCGAGAATTTCATCTTTTTCGTAGTTGAAATCACGTCAGTCGGGCAATCAGGAGGCATGGATGCCATCTGGGACCACCCCTGCACTGATAAAAATCCGAGCTCGATACTGATGGTCTGTAGGTAGTCAAGCGTTCTTGGGCAATTCAAGCACAATTAATGATAAAAGCAGGAAAGTAGTTGCTTTTCATTAGTTATCTTAGAGTTTCGTTCATTCATGAGTATTATTTGTGGAAATGACTTCGACCTTTGCATATTTGTCTAATTAGAGATATGTTTATTTCTTTAGTGTTCTTACCTTCATCATAACAGATGATATCGAGCAACTGAGCATCAATTATAAAACTCGGATCATATTTTGAGTGCTATTGAGTGAAGTAGGTCTGTAGGAAAAAATGTTAGAAAAAATAGCCATCTCTTTTTATTTAGGATCTTCCTGAATCTCAAATAGTTTCCACATTTTCGTAAACAACCTGTATAAATAGTGTGGATGAAAGATAAAAGTATTCTTCATAACGAGTAATCTTGGACCTAAGCACATCTAATGAAACACCCTGTATATTGATAATGATATGGAGAGCTGTGATAAGTTTACTTTTTTGAATGTATACATTTGGACAAGTCCATGACTTATACGCATTTACTTGTGGAGAAGTCCTTGAAAATGAATCTTCCACAATATTTTGAAGTATACTGAGAAGTAAACAGCCGTCTAATATGCCATCCACTGTGAATTTGACTGTGTACCAATAAGTCTAAATACCTAAGAAGTATGTGTTATCTACCTGTAATGATATTTTTCCTTCGAGATCTACCCATAACAAACAATAATCAGCGGGAAAGAGTTTTCCCCGGTCAGAAAACCCGATTGCAAACCATCCATAGTTCGATGGAAGGTGTATTTCGAATGTCACCATTTCTGAGCTATAATCTACAGTCCAGTGTAGCGTAATTGAATTGTCTTCTTTCAAAGAGGCATGAAATATTGTATTGTTTCCATCTGAAAGCAATCGATAATATCAATAGGAAAGTTCGTTCGTGCGGGTGTATATCTACTCCTTATATACAGGGTATATATATCTTCATGAGTTAACGCGATCTATATACAGTGTGTCCCACTTACCATGCTCACCATGGATATCTTTTTAACGGTGAGAGATACGAGGTCGGTTAAATGACACCAAATGTGGAGTTTGTCAAGGCCAACTATGATGTGAAAAAATATTCTGATAAAATCTATTCGTTTTTGTTTTATACGCAAAAAACAGATTTTGATCATTTTCATGTCTCCTCCGTAACTTCTTTATTTATGAAAATATTCAAATAGGAATTTCACATTCTCATGGGAGTTTTTCAAAGTGATTTCGAAAAAAATATGGAATTCATATCAACTCTTCTAGAATTTGAGATATCAGCACCAACTTCAGTTTTTCAAATGTAGGTCATAGCTCACTATGACCTAGTTACAAATAACTTTTTTTTCTCTTTCAGATGATATATCGCAGTAATAGTTTTGTGTTGATAACAACGGAGTTATCGTCATTATACAAAAACAAAAAATTATTTAGAAGCCGCCATCTTGAATTTATCAATTTTAACAAAAAAAATCATGATCTCCGACCTCGAAAACCCCCACTCCCCAATTTTGAATGGAATCGGACCAAATCTTGTCCGCCAGCCATTTTTTTTTCAATTTCAACAAAAAAAATGTCTGCCACAAGATGAAATTTTTGATTATACACGGAAAAATATCGCACGATTGAAAACGGAATCTTTCTTCATTGATTCGACGCATATTCATCGAGGTACTCCATATTTTCCAGACTTCTCAGACATCACCAATTATTATCGACTACGTTTTTTTCGAATTCTGAATTATTGAATGATGTATTCAAAATCATCCAATTGATTACATATTTCAAAATCTAAAGAAATTGTTTATACGAGCGGGAAATTAGTAATTTGTGCGAGTTATACACTTCACCTTTTTACGGCTGTAACAGATAACAGCAAGTTCCACGGAACACGAAAAATGCCAACAGTTCTGTGAAACTGCGCATGCTCCTGATGGTTTCGAACTGTTTATTTTCCACACGAGAACGAACTAATTGTGATATCAGATACGGAAAGGAAACTGATGACATACAGAGTACCCCATTGATTTATCAAACACAGTAAAACAAGAGTTATTTTCTGCCTAGGTCTCAAAGTAACTCTTTGGCGTACCGAAAGAAAAGTTTTTGCAGGGGTCTTTTCCAGCCGAGGCAAAATAATCTTGAGGTCGTCAAAAAGTTTTGAAGCCATGGTATTTTGAATAGTTACAAGAAATAACGACTGCAAAGTTATATTTCGCGTACTGTGTAGAGACAGCAAGGAACTCTCTTCCCATATGATTGCACGAGATAGTTATTTATGATATGAGTGCTAAAAATGATCATTTATTTCATAAAAAAAAAGTTTGGAACACGACGCCGACGGCGGAGTTTCCATCCCTTCAAACAAAACGAAATCACTTTCAGCAGGTATATCATACACTATTTTTTCTACAAAGGAAATAAAACCTATCGAAATTTTGTCCAAACTTCGGCGGATAACATTGCTTCCTGCCCTGGTACAAGCTTCACCAAAATAAATTCTATTACGCATCTACCAATGCGACTGGCCATGGAGTTTCTTATTATAATTGGATAAACACTTCATTTTGAATAAAGTTTTTATATCTCCTCATAAAAATGAATCACTTTCAACACTAGTGGTATAGTTTATCCAAAAATAATTGCAGAATCTCGTGCCGCACCTGCAGTCACTTCAAAGGAAACTTCTAACACGCTGACGCCGCACACAGTGCGGGATATTCTGCTATACAGGGTGCCCGTTTTTCGAGCTCCACCATGGGGATCTCAGTTATTATGAGAGATACGAAGTCGGTTAAATTAGGGCAAAGTTGCACATTTTGATGCTGAACAAACGGAAATTTTTTATTTTCGTTTTTATTTTTTCAAGCGAAAACCAAAATGCCTAGACGTTTTTGACTGGGACATTCTCAAGACACTTTTTCACAAGGAATCTAAATCTGTCATCGTAATTTCCATAACGTTCTTGATGCCAAATTTACAACACTCAACTTTGTTTTTTCTTATAGGCGCCATATTGGATTTTCGCATTTTTGAAAAGCCTTTTCTTACCTGATTACAATGATGTATCACACGATATGATTGAATCCTACATGCTGATCAAAATTAGAAAAAAAACATTTTTGCAAAGAGTGCTTTGGACAGAACGCCAACAATTAGGTTTATCAAACTGAATGTTGACTGTTCAAAAGAATTCGGATCTGTAACGTTCACATTTTCGTGTAACTCATTTACGTACTACGTACGTTTTGATTCAGGAACGACATGATAAGCTAGGAGTTTATTCTTCGCAAAACAAAATGAAACAAAGTTATAAAAGATGCTCGAATACTCCCCCTTCCACTTCCAAACACAATTCTACACGTTTTCTCAGATTCTGAATAGCTCGCGAGATGTCCCGTCTTCTTATCTTCGTCCTGAAAGTTGTGATTATTGTTCTTCTCAGCTCATCAATATCGGTGGGTACAGTTTTGTGAATTAAATCTTTCATAGTTCCCCATAAATAATAGTCTAGCAGGGAAAGATCAGGTGATCGCGCTGGCCAAAGTATTTCTCCATTGTTCGAAATCACCTTGCCGGGAAACATTTCTGACAAACACTCTGCAACCCTTCTAGCGTTATGTGGCGGTGCGCCGTCTTGCTGGAACCATACTATATTTAGCCGGTTCAGACAAATGTTGTTGTCAACATATTCCGTAAGGAATGTTCTCAGAAAATTGTAATACCGATCGGCATTCAAATTTTCTTCATAAATGTATGGGCCAATTATTGTGTCGTCCAACAATCCGACCCATACATTCACGCCGAAGCGTATTTGTGGTCGCCCTTCTTGATGTTCACGGGGATTCTCAATGGACCAAATGTGTTCATTGTGTCGATTGAATATGCCCATGTTTGTAAATTTGCATTCATCCGTGAATATAACATTACGCAAGAAATTTGGATTCTGCTCCAACTGGTTCATTACAAATCTACAAAACTCTACCCGTCGACCTCCATCTCCGGGATGGAGAACTTGTGTGATGTGAATTTTGAATGGACGATATTTGTGTTTGTTCAGTATCCTCCACACCACTTGATGCGATATGCCAAGATTTGTTGCAATTTCCCTTGTGGAAATCGAGCGATTATCTTGAACCTAAAGGAAGAATAGGTATTCAAATCCTAGGTAATTTTTTTCTATTTCACTCACCGCTTGCAAAACTGCCATCTCATTTACATTCTTTCTATTGTTGTACCTTCGTCTAGGCTTCACAAATGAACCATAATCGGCTAAATTCATATGGAGCAATAGAAAATAATTCTGAGCTGGTTGCTCTCTCTCTGGATACCGCTGGAGATACGTTTCGGAAGTAATTCGCGCATTTCGATGGGAGGCGTAATAAATCTGGAGCATATCTGGCTTTGCTTCATTCGTAAACGGCATTCTTGTAAATTAGCTCAAGAATTCAATAGTTCTGCTCAAACTGTTAAAACTCAGTTTGTTAAACAAAATTGTTGCCGTTCTTTCCAAAGCACTCTTCGCAAAAATGTTTTTTTCCAATTTTGATCAGCATGTAGGATTCAATCATATCGTGCGATACATCATTGTAATCAGGTAAAAGAAGGCTTTTCAAAAATGCAAAAATCCAATATAGCGCCCATGAGAAAAAACAAAGTTGAGTGTTGTAAATTTGGCATCAAGAATGTTATGGAAATTACGATGACAGATTTAGATTCCTTGTGAAAAAGTGTCTTAAGAATGTCCCAGTCAAAAACGTCTAGGCATTTTTGTTTCCGCTTGAAAAAATAAAAACGAAAATTACAAATTTCCGTTTTTTTCCAATAATTCAAAAACTAAAAATGACACATCAAATTTTTTTTCAGAAAATTGTTCAGCATCAAAATGCGCAACTTTGCGCTAATTCAACCGACTTCGTATCTCTCATAATAACTGAGATCCCCATGGTGGAGCTCGAAAAACGGGCACTGATTTCACTATCAACATCAGTCTCATAAAATTGCATTTTAGACACTGACAGCATGCGTTAAAAATTGTACTTTTACTAATGTTTGTACAAAATAAATTGTTTACGGCTTCGACACAAAATTGCTTTTGTTTCATTGTTTTCGATAGATCAGTGAGGTACAATTTATGATGATAGAGCATTGATAGAGAGGAAATTAGATGGCTGAAAGCCGGAAAACAAAACAATGTTGCTATTATCAGTTATTGCCGTAGAAAAAGTATAGTGTATAAATTGCACGGAATGCTTATTTTCCGCCCGTATGATTTGCAGCATCCTCGTGACGAATTACTTTCATTCCGTGACCGTTAAACAATGTTCTATTTGAATTTCAGAACAAGAAGTACTTAATTACATATATGATGAAAAAAAAACCCGCACAAAACAATTAGAAGTCTAATGATCAAATTTCCACATAATTCCCATTGAAAGAAAATTGATTCATTGAAAGCAATCGATGGTAGAAGAATCATGAGTAAATTGAAATACATAATTGAAATTTCGCACATACCTTTCAGACATGTTACCGTTGAAACAAGACACAAACTATAAATGAACAGAATATTCCGAATGTTGTAACAAATACTCATTTTATCGACAAAGTTTTTCGGCCTGACTCGAAATGCCCTCTTCAACACTAACCGGAAAATTCGAAATTTCCTCTAATACGAAGAAAACCGCGCAGACGCAATTCTGAACATGAATAGGTATATTGCGTACAGGATGGGAACATATAATATTATATTGATGGTTTTCCTCTCCTTCCACTGAAAGATATGTATCCTCAAGAGAACGTTGCAAACGAAGTATCGCCATACTATATATAAACATGATGCACAAAATAACATCATCATCATCATTTATTTTGACGGCTCTGAACTGTCATTCTAGAACACATTTTATCACCCATCTCCTACTTCCGGTTCTCCGGAGCTGTGATGACAAAAGCCCAAGGAAGATAACTCTCAACAAAATATGGAAAGGCTTCGTTTCTGAAATATAGGGTGTCCGAATTAAAAAAAAATGTTCATATCTGAACTCTCAGCAGATTCTATCGTTATGATTATGATACATGTTGAATAGTTGCTTTCAGGCTGTCTGAAGTTTTCAGCGGAAAGATGACAATTTCAGCTTGTTTTTTGGATGTATTGCTAGACAGCAACCATCAGATTGATTGACAACGTCAAATTTAGGTAGCTATATACTGGGTATACTTACATATTGTTACATCTCAAGAAATGAATCTCTGTCAGTGAACGGAGAGTTTTACTCTTACGATAATTGCGATATTCGTACAGTAAATATGTAGATTATACACATAAACATTGCGCTTCTCTTGAAAACTGAATTAATGCGTGACATGTGAGCTGTAGTTTGTTGAAATGTAGTTATTACTTGTGCATAAAAATTTATATGTATCACGTGCGAAAAATACGCCTACTTTACGACCTTGATACATAAATAACTATTATCGACTATTTCCGAAGGCAAGTACTTTTTGTCCACAGACACTATCATTTCGTCCGCAAACACTTTTGGTCCGTTGCAGGGTTGCCAGTTCTACTAAATTTTCAGTAGATCTCCTGATTTGCATACTGCTCTACTGATCTACTGATACATCTTATAATCTACTGAAAAATATTATGACCCTTTTTTATTATTCGAATTACTTATAATATTACTGATCTTCAGTTTATCACATACACCTATAAATTGCATGATATTTCGGCACATTAACAAAATGAGCCACAAATGTACTTATTAAAGGTACTAATGATATGTATATTGTATAAACCAAAAAAGGACAATACTTCATCTGATTCAGATCAAATTCAATTTTATATATACCTCTGTTATAACAGTTCGTTCTTTACGTTTGATTCTTTCATTAGTTCTTTATTCTGATTGTTCATTTCTTGATATTCGTTCCTGTTTTTTAAATACTTCAATCGAAAGAGTAGGTACCTATGTAACTGTTTTTCGTGATATTTGTGAGTATTTTCGAATTGAGAATTAGGAATATGCTTATTTTTGTATGATAATGTTTGATTTATTTGTTCCTATTCTGTTGAAAATAGGTTCATTTTCTGTTTATCAAAAGTGAGTACACTCAGAGAAATAGTCGGTAATGAACGTTTGATAGAATAGGCGCCAGTCACTACGTTCATCTAATATTACCACAACAAAATTGTATCATACATAAGATTCATACTATTTTGTAGTGCTAATATTTGATATACTATGGTATTATACAATTTTGCAGTGGTATTATCATTAGATGAATGAAGTAAGTGGCGCCTATTTTACTAAACTTTTGGTATTTACTACCGACAGTTACATATTGTTTTGATGTCATAGGTTTATTTCATCATCCTTTCTTGGAATTCGTATAGTATATAATAAATCTTGAACAGATCAATTGAAATCTACTGAATTTTTGTTTAGGTATTTACTGATAGAATAAAAATCGAACTGGCATCCCTGGTTCGCGCGGAGAGTGAGTTGACAGCAACTGTCATTTGCTGTTGTCAAATTGACTATTCACGGAATCCGATACAGTTCACGACTGAAATAGGAGCGTGATGTGAATAAAAGTGTTTGAGGTCGACGAAAAAATGTGATATGCACCTCCGCGAAAAACTGTCTATTGTCTCACCTGATTGCTAGCCTCTGGCAAGGCCTCGGCTGTCAATTTGCAGATCTGACAGATATTTGAAGATCATGTAAATTTTATGTCTTTTTTGTTTTCATGAATGATAATGTGCAATACATTTTTGGACAATATCTTAGCATTGTTATTCTTCCTTCTGGGGAGTTCAGAGATATGCCGAGTTATGATATTATTCGTTTTTCTCGAAACGGAAGCGAGATAAAAAAAATAGCAGGAGACAAAAACGCAGTATTCTCCGTGGGTTCATGGTAATATTCAAGGAGAACCCGAAAAAAAAAACAGGTCAATTTTTTTTCTTGAAAAAAAAAAACCGACCTGCTCGATGGGTACGCCCCTGGCTTTCTCAAACAAAGTGGCACTATTGATCCTAATGAGACAATATACTATTCATTAGATGGCAGTTCAGAGATGTCGTACGACTACCGATTTATGGAAAATGTACTCTCAAATATTCAGAAGATATTTCATGAGATTGACAGTTTCATGTTCTAGAACCATTGAATAGAATTGAGAAGGAAGTGCACCAACTGTTGCATATCTGATTATTCCTGTTTTATCACGAAGCTGTTTTAATCAGAGATATGGTTGAAGCAAAGCATTCCATTTCATGCAGTTGAGACTGCCAGCCCTAATAATACACCTCTATCCATGGGACATTCAATGGATATCCTCAACCAGGCATTCTGGACATCCATAGGATAACCACTTTGTGTACACATCCATTCAGAATCCATCTATTTGATGTCCATATGGTGTCCATATATTGGACATATACTATACGTTATCAGAAGACAGGCTGGGATATTTTTTTATTATTTCAAACATAGTTCATGGGTGGAACCTGAAGTATATATGATATGATGAAAAAATAGAAAGTTTATACCTACTTAGGGTGATAACAAATTGGAGAAGAAGTGGTCCAATGCACTGGTAAAAGAACTGAAATGGATATTATGCGTCATTTCTGGATTATTTTTGAAAATATTCATTGCATTCTGAATCCGTCTCCATAATTCCTGTTCAGTATTCACAGGTCTCGAATACACCTCAAACTCTATAGGTACTGCTCCCCATGAAATATAGTATATTTCCTCTGCCGTTTCATCTACTTATAAAGATGATTATTATCGTCAGTTTTAGTCGATGAGGCAAGACAATTGGCCCCAAGATGAAAATTCTTCAAACTGCGCAATTTTCAATGATTCTTGTCCACACATCATCTGTTGGTATCATTCAAGAGTTTGTAAACATCCGATATAATTTTCTCTATTTTATAGTAGATACGTCGGAAGAACCTGTTCCAAATCCTTCTTCTTCTGTTCATCTTGGTGAAGGGTGTTTCACCAACCTATCCAAGAAATATGCTATGTTATGGTAACAATCCGCAATTAGGAACACCTGGATGGACACAGAAATAATAAGAACTCTTAAGTAACTTGAAGGACGTATAAAGCTGGAAACTAAGGCATAATTCGACTATAAAAAACTGGAAATGATCATAAAAGTCCACCAAAACGAATTAATGAAATGAACATAACCTATATTACATTTCGAATTCTGACAGATGAATTCAGATTTTCTTTTCCTCATTTCACTTTTCTCAGAATTTGTCGCTACAATAGACATTCCGACAATAAACTTATGGATGTCCAATATGTACTGCCAATTATCCGGTATGGACATCGAAGTGGCTATCCGATGTGCGTCCATGGACATAAATAGGCTTCCAGATGGAGTACACACTAGATCATCAGCTGGATATACAACGATGTACATCAGAAGATAGTTCTATTTAGCGTCCGTGGATGTCTTGGACTTCAAATGGATATAAAATGAATGTCATCTGGATAACGTGTGTTATTAGGGATCAATGATGGAGCCTTGCGATTTTCCAGTTCCTGTCCTACCTTTTTGTGAACCTCAGGATACAGGTCGATTTTGAAAATTCATACTTGCTGGACCCCTATAATGATAATAATATCAATGATAGTAATGTTTATTCATTAGGTAATTATAATAATAATAATAATAATAATAATAATATAATATTTTTATTTTCCATTCGACAATTGAAAATTGTATTGGATTCGTCAACACAGGTGACTAAAATAGAACAAAAGTAAACACACAAATAACTTAAGACTAAAGAGTTACATCTAAAAACCAAGAACAAAAATAGGGAGATGACATTTTACATTTGTAAATATTCCGCTACAGAATAGAAACATTCTGTCACTAGAAAGTCCTTCAATTTTTTTTTGAAACAATAGAGTGTTTCACACTTTTTTATTTCATCTGGCAATGAATTGTAAATCCGAGGAGCCATTGCATTAGTAGAATTATAATGAATTTTTGTATAACTGAAAGGAATGTAATAGTGATCTTTTTGGCGTGTATTGTATTCGTACCTGGAATCGTTCAGTGTGAAGTTACTACGATTTTTATATACGTATATGCAGAATTCAAAAATTAACAGTGATGGTAGCGTGAGGATTTTAAGATTTTTGAAGTGGTCTCTACAGGATGAGCGTGTCGATATTCCAACTAGAGTACGTATAATGCGTTTCTGCGCAATGAAAACATCTGAAGATGAGGTGGATAGGCCCCAGAAGCGCACCCCGTATCTTAGTCTGGAATCTATTTGGGCATAATATAATTTCAGGAGTTGATCCTCGTTAAGGACGAGTTTGAGATTTCTGAATTGATATGAGTAACAATTCAATTTGGATTGTAGTGTTCGACAGTGATTATTCCATGTGAGACACTCGTCCACTTCAAGGCCTAAAAACTTGACTTGTTGAACAATTTCTACATTATCGCACATTTCTGTAGATATTATCACATCGGAACAGTTTTTCTGACGATTATGGAATCTAATGGATTTCGTTTTATCCATGTTCAGGTGTAGGAGGTTTGCACTGAACCAATCCTTTACGTTCGAGAAAGTTTCATTGCA